ACTTGAAACTTCGGTCAGACCTTCCAGTCTATAACTCACCGGGATGCAGTGATCCGGTCATTGTCGTTTCAATATTGTATGTTAGGGATGGCGGCATGTATCCCGCAGGGATTCTCAGAACCCATTCCTGCGTGACGAACTCGATCTTTCGACACATGACTCGGGCTTGTAAACGTTCTCCAGGATCACGCTAGACACCTTACAATCCGGGTCTGAGATATGGCCTTGAGTTACCACACCATGCAGTTTTATTGGCGCTGTCTTATTATCAATTCTGCTCATCGTAAATCCAACCACATGGGACTAATTATCTCCGGTACTATTAAAAACACAGGTGTGTTGGTTTGGAATTCGGGATATGGTCGCTGTTGTACGGAAAGTGCCAGGGGTGGGAAATCGGGGAGTGAGAGTGAGAGAGGGTGTTAGGATACCAGTCTTTGACAGCATATTTTTAAGCCCGAGAAAGCAATTTGGTGGGAGAAATGCGAAGTTTGGTCAGGTCAGAGGAATTGAAGAAAGAACCTCTGCTGTCATCGTCGGATTCAGTCTCATAATATACGACAGCTGATACATGAGCGATAAGTTTTATTGGCGTAACTTGGCTCGGTGATGACAGGTGGGTTCCCAAATTTTGGAAGCTAAGTTCTCACGGTCTTGAGCAAGGTTGCCGATTTTGAAGCCGAAGGACAGGAATGCTTGCCACCGGGGCATGAAGCAGTTCCACAGTATGACACCAGCTCTCCGTGTACAAAAGCGATCAAATCCCAAATTATGAACATATGCACTTGTGACCCACAAATCACGCTCGCCCAAATCATCGGCGATCGTCTATCAGGTGTCTTCCAACAAGACACAGAGGCAAGTGCACATTAATGCATATTAGACTCCCTAACTCACTTCTTGTGACGTCAGCCAAGGCAAACATCAATCTGCATACCTTTGATCACTCTGCAACCATGCCCGGAAAGTACAAAGTAATCCGAATTCATGCGCTCGTCCCGAAATGTTTTGGAATTTTAAAAGTGAGCAAACCCGGCGGATTATTGCTTTTCGGGCAACCGGGTACATCACACGCTCATACACCTTAATGACTTTCACTGAGCAGCCATTGTCACAGCGTTTGCGTTGTTCGAATTGTTGCGTACGCTATCTGGCAATATTACTACAGCATAAATATCCGAAGGCTTTATACGCGAGCTACTGCGTGGACCTCCCTGTGTATCCGTGTATAATAATAGGTTTATTTCCCAACCTGTAGGGAACTTGCCGGTTGAGGCCTGATCGTGTCATTACAGCCTGAACGCTGCAGGCAAC